TGGTGGGTGTCTTCCTCCTGCTTCAGTGGTCAATGGAAGTCGTTATTAATTATTGCCAGACGGCCTGAGTTAAGGGGAGCCTTAGTGATTCTGCCGTTCGGCCATGATTTTGGTCCAACTATCCAGTGTTCACAAGTCGACAAGTGACAGTTTGTCCCAAAATGGGTAGCGCTTTTTCCCGTTAAGGGAATGCTGAGGAACTTAATTAACAACTTATATATATGAGGGGTTTAACTTAAATCTAAGAGATAAGCGAAATCTGTCTTTAGTTTTAGAAGAAAATCTAAGAGATAAGCGAAATCTGTCTTTAGTTTTAGAAGAAAAGTTTAGCTTAATTCATTTATGCATCCTGTGAGTGGTAGTGGAAAAGCTTATACAGCTCTAGAACCGAGCCCTTACGGTTTATAGGCTAAACATTTTTTTCAACTGTGGTGTGCTAGTTACAGATCGATTGATGAAGATTAAGCCACCCAAAAGGTGGCACGGGCATGAATAGCCCGTAAGTGGTGGCCCTTTGGAGCCATTACCAGTATCTTTTAGCTGATGCTGGAGATCTGTGGAGGTGCGACTGCACCCTACGGAGAGGTCGTGACCTTTCCGCTAGTTACAGGTCTTATTGCCTCAGATTTGAGATTAGGTGGGCCAGGGTAGTGATGAGAGTGTCATAACGTGGCTGGCGTTACGTAACATGGTCACTAGGCAAGGAGGTGAGAGAGAGACTTGCAGCCTGTACAAACCCACTGTCTTCAACACGCACACAGATGGCTTATCTGGCTAGAAGTTTGGATAATATGTCTTCCAGGATACAATACAGGGACATTTCTTGAATATTATTGATGGAGTTCTCTAAACTCTTGGATTTGTTCACGTTTAGTTCTGTGGCGGCGTAAGGGTATCTGAATAATTTTGCTGAGAACTTTCCATTTAGTTACAACTACTGAAGCAGGTGGTGCAGCCTCCCAGGGGCACCTTGTAGTCGCGCCTAAGACTAGCAGCAGTAACGTCTAGATATCTCCCGACCTTAGTGTGTGACCCATAGATATGTTACTCTTTCTGCCAAGTGGTATGATGGTATTGTATTATTTATTATACACCCCATACCCATGCCGTGGGCGGTGGGGATAAGGGTTACAGACGGACATAATGGGTTCACCCGCCAAACACACACCGAAGCTACGACGTTGGTACAACGTTCGAACAAGTTTGAACTCCTAACCAGTTATAACAACCAATATAACAAGTTGTAACAACGTTCTAATACGTCATAAATACGTTCAGCCAAGATGTAACAACTTTATTTACAAATTGTAACAAGCGGAAAATAGAGACAGTTTCGGTTTGTGTTTCCAGGGTTGCAGGGACTCGACTCCCCAGTTCGTATAGCTAAGCAAATGACAATCTTGTGAACCTTGTTACGCAAGCTTGAATAGTTTGTGCACATTTAACTTGTCTCGAGTGTACTCAATTGTATTGGAGTTTTGGGTATATTTACTGTCCTCAGGCTGCTCGACGGCACTCCAAGGTGGTAATCAACTCCCTCGTTAAGAGCATCGACCAACTCATTAGTTCGATTGTGCATTCGGAGACCTCTGTGGATTGCGATTCAAAGGAGACAGGCTCTGATTCCACACTAATCATTTTATTATTAAATTGGCAGCTGCATCCTGAGGTTTTCAATTATTGACAAATGACTGATCAAGTATCATTGATCAAATGAGTCACAGTGTACACAGTAACGATTTAAAATTTAAATCAAATGAGTCAATGCGGATGAATCAATACATTATATAAACTGTGAAGGTTCAAATTATTTAGGTTTATTTTGCTAGATAGTTGATGCCAAAAGCTATCTTTTTTTTTAATCTCCGCGGGAAAGGAAAACGCTACAAGATTATTTAATTGGGTTCTGAAATACGCCCGTTTTCTTCTGTTTTGGAGACCCGTCGAAATGTATTTAAAAAGATGCAATTATTTTACTATGTCGTAGCTCAGTCGCTTAAGGCGCGTCTGGGATCCTCTCGGACGCACGTTCGAACCCTCGTTACGGCCCTTGTGGATTTGTTTATTTAACAAAACTTTAACATGATACTTGTCCATTAAACAGCCATGACTAGTAACCTGCCCTGGGGGCAGATATTGACGCAGGTTGCATTGCTTATATTGCGTCTTGTTGCATTAAGCAACGAGATGCAGTGCAAACAGACACTGGCAGGAACACTCGTGTCAACAGTGTCTCGAGTAATCACATCTCTTGGGAGCAGATATTGACACACACAACCTCTTGTATTAACTACTCCGACGCATCAAGCACAAGCACTCGTCTCAACACGGGCAAATAACGCTCCCGTATGCATACACACACACACACACACACACACACACACACACACACACACACACACACACACACACACACACACACACACACACGCACGCACGCCCTTCGTTAGTGGTGCGAGGCTTCGTAGTGTTAGTGGCGGGTGTTAGTTGAGGTCTCGCGGCCAAACAACCCACACACCTGGGCAAACAACACACACACCTGGGCAAACAACCCACACACAGGGCAAACAACCCACACACCTGGACAAACAACCCACACACAGGACAATCAACCCACACACCTGGACAAACAACACACACACCTGGACAAACAACCCACACACCTGGACAAACAACCCACACACCTGGACAAACAACACACACACCTGGACAATCAACCCACACACCTGGACAAACAACCCACACACCTGGACAAACAACCCACACACCTGGACAAACAACCCACACACCTGGACAAACAACCCACACACCTGGACAATCAACCCACACACCTGGACAAACAACCCACACACCTGGACAAACAACACACACACCTGGACAAACAACCCACACACCTGGACAAACAACCCACACACCTGGACAAACAACCCACACACCTGGACAAACAACACACACACCTGGACAAACAACACACACACCTGGACAATCAACCCACACACCTGGACAAACAACACACACACCTGGGCAAACAACCCACACACAGGGCAAACAACCCACACACCTGGACAAACAACCCACACACCTGGACAAACAACACACACACCTGGACAAACAACACACACACCTGGACAAACAACCCACACACCTGGACAAACAACCCACACACCTGGACAAACAACACACACACCTGGACAAACAACCCACACACCTGGACAAACAACCCACACACCTGGACAAACAACACACACACAGGGCAAACAACCCACACACCTGGACAAACAACCCACACACCTGGACAAACAACACACACACCTGGACAATCAACCCACACACCTGGACAAACAACCCACACACCTGGACAAACAACCCACACACCTGGACAAACAACACACACACAGGGCAAACAACCCACACACCTGGACAAACAACCCACACACAGGGCAAACAACCCACACACCTGGGCAAACAACCCACACACAGGGCAAACAACCCACACACCTGGACAATCAACCCACACACCTGGACAAACAACCCACACACAGGGCAAACAACCCACACACCTGGGCAAACAACCCACACACCTGGACAAACAACCCACACACCTGGGTAAACAACACACACACCTGGGCAAACAACACACACACCTGGACAAACAACCCACACACCTGGACAAACAACCCACACACAGGGCAAACAACAGCCATTCCCCTCCCACAACCATTGAATTCAATTTTGTCAAACTATCTCTTATGACTTTTTTTATGGATATATTAATCTAAATAAACTTTCGAATAGAGATATATCTACCTAGAACGAATAAAGAAACTTTTAAAGAGAGAGTACAAGACTTAAGAGGTTTGGCAAAGGACCAATCAAAATGCAACAGGACAAAAAGGACCAATCAAAAGAAGGAGTTTTAAGATGCAATAAGTCAGAGTCTTCAAGTAATGATTTAAACTTGCGGAATTGCTTTAGATTTATATAATTGCTTTACTACTTAAATGGAGCTGAGAATGAAGTAAAAATGCTAGGAAAATATTTAATGTCAAAATATACATATACATTTCTGCAAGCATGAAAGAGAAAGCAAACAAGTATTATGGGAAACATATTTGTATTAAAGGTATTAGAATATTTTGGGGGAAAAAAATGCCAAAAAATATAAAAAAGTTAAAACTAAAAAAATGCCAAAAAATATAAAAAAGTTAAAACTAAAAAAATGCCAAAAAATATAAAAAAGTTAAAACTAAAAAAATGCCAAAAAATATAAAAAAGTTAAAACTAAAAAAATGCCAAAAAATATAAAAAAGTTAAAACTAAAAAAATGCCAAAAAATATAAAAAAGTTAAAACTAAAAAAATGCCAAAAAATAAAAAAAGTTAAAACTAAAAAAATGCCAAAAAATATAAAAAAGTTAAAACTAAAAAAATGCCAAAAAATATAAAAAAGTTAAAACTAAAAAAATAACAAAAAATTAAAATCTATAATTTACAGCAGCGGCGAGTGCTAATATATTTATCAAGAGAAGCTTGTGAATGACAAGTTGTATAAAAAAAACTAAAACAACTATATGCTTTCACTTCTATTACAATTAGCAAAACAAAAACAGTTTTATTTAATACTAATGAGAAATAATGACAAAATTGAGCAATCAATAAAAAAAGCATTGTCGGAACACTAAGTTCAACTCAAGTGTTATTTTCCTACAGACAAAATGCTAAAAATTAAAACAAAAAAATATTCCAGCTAGAGCTGCTTAGCCCAGCGCGCAGACAACGTAACAACAACGTCATTTGTACTACGTTCACGTTAATGCAACCTTGATACAACCTTGTATCAACGTTGCCGTAATAACGTCAAAAAAACGTCGTGGCTGCGTTGAGTGTTTTCTGGGAATTAACACGAGGAAGGACAGACAGGGAGGGGGGAATGGGGTCGGTGTGGTTGGGGGGGGGAGAGAATTTATCGTGTGTGTGAGACGATAACAAATGCCACATTACCTCCATAATGTGTTTAACGCCCATGGGATCCGGTATCCTCTTCTGCGCCTTGATATCTTTGAGCAGCGCCGTGAACCACGTGCAGGGCACCCAGTAGGTGTTGAACTCCTTGTTGGGCACCAGCTTGTAGATTCCCAGCTCCGTGGTCGTGATGAAGCCTGCGTAGGAGGGAAGAGCAGAGAGAGAGCGGGAGTAAGCTCAAGGAACCTGAAGATAAGCTATACTTATTGTGCTGAAGATTAAGCAGGGAAGTGGCAGCGTACAGTAGATACAGACAGAGAGTAGCAGCTTCTCAAAGATGCTACAATGGGCATCCTGATTGATGAAGATTAAGCCACCCAAAAGGTGGCACGGGCATGAATAGCCAGTAAGTGGTGGCCCTTTTGAACCAATACCAGTATCAATAGATGATACTGGAGATCTGTGGAGGTGCGACTGCACCCTGCGTGACGGGAGATGTCTCCCGTGGCATCCTGACTCCTGACAACATATATATATAAAGAACATGTGACTGAGGGAGAGAATTTATGGGCTATTCATGCCCGTGCCACCTCTTGGGTGGCTTAATCTTCATCAGCCAATCGAGGGAGAGAATTATCAGGTGAATTATTATCTGAGTAAATTAATCGGGGAGGAAAGCGCCAAGCCACTACGACTATATAGCAGTGGGAAGGGGATCAGGGGGTGAGGATTCTGGATGTAACGGAGGGTTAAGGAATGGTGCCCAACCACTTGGACGGTCGGGGATTGAACGCGACCCTGCATGACGCGAGACCATCGCTCTACCGTCTAGTCCAAGTGGTTGGGCGTGACTGAGGGAATGATGGAGATTTAGGGATAGACGATAGACTATCGGTAGATGACAGGTGGCTAAGGGATAGTAAGGATAGTAAAATGCGATGGAAAGAAGATGGAAGGAGAGAGAAAAAAAAAGGAAAAATTGATGGGTTGATGGTGATGAGTAGATGTTGGAGGAATAACGAGATGATCCAGAAGTGTGCAGAGATGATGATTATTGAGTTAATTTATGAGGGGGTGGATTATGGGTAGATAATGGGGTGAATAAATAGGTAGATGAAGGTTTGAATAAATGTTAGAAAAGGGGGGGTAGATGATCTGTCGATAATGGTTTTATGATCATACATTACAAAGGATGAGAATTGAATGGTAGAGTAAATGTTGAAAAGAAAAGTAGTTGACGATCAGGAAGTGAATGATCGATAAGCGTAAAATTAAGTGCGGGTGTAGGGGGGGGGGGTAGATAAGGATGAATGTTGAGTAGATAAGAGTAGATGACAGGTGATGGGCAAATAGTACCTTCTACCCTTCCCTCCCATTCTCGATCCACCCCATCCCCCCTTCCCCCCCAGTCAGCCCCCCACTCTTTCCCCCCCCCCCCCTCCTATCCCACCTATCTATACCCCCACTTCTCCCCCCCCACCCACCCATCTCTAAACACCCCCTTACCCATCCCCCCTGCCACTCCACCCCATTACCACTTCCCTATCTCCCCCCCCCTCTCCCTCACCCCCTCCCAACCAATCCTCCCAATCCTCCCCCCCCCCCCACACCCACCTGCCTCCACCAGGTGCTCCAGCGTGGGGAACCTCTTCTTGAGGGGCGAGGAGATGGAGCGGAGGATGAGGACGAGGCTGAGGTTGATGTAGCGGGCCAAGGTCCTCCTCATCATGCGACCCTTGTCGTCGTAGCCGGTGATGTGCAGCGCGATGGCGTGGATGATCCTGTGAGGGGGATGTTGGTGTTGTTGTTATAGACTCAGCTACTCGGAACAAGTTCCAAGTAGCACGGGCTATGGTGAGCCCGTAACTTACCCGGCACAAGAGCGGGACAGAGGTAGATAGGGGCAAAGATGTAGGCAGTGGCAGACAGGGAGAGATTGCGCCGAAAGTTAGACAGGGACAGTGAGATAGACAAGGACAAAGACGGGTAGAGAGGTAAACAGGTGCAAAGACATGGATAGAGAGAGAAAGACAGGAGAGGCAAATGAAACACCAGCCAGAGAACAAAGACCCACAAACATACACAATATAATCCTATTTCCTACAGGAGCGACAGTCACCAAGACGAAACTAAATTGAAATACATACTAATTGTCATCATTTTCAGACGTGTTTCGTAAATGAGTAGTTGCGTAGGTATGGAGTATAGTGAGGGACGGAGGGAGAGATGGTGGGGGAAGATGTAGTCTCTCTCTCTCCAGTGGGTGCTTAACTTTAAAATCAGAGATGCTATATCCCCTGTTACCTAGCAGTAAAATAGGTACCTGGGTGTTAGTCAGCTGTCATGGGCTGCTTCCTGGGGATGGAGGCCTGGTCGAGGACCGGGCCGCGGGGACACTAAAAAAAAGCCCCGAAATCATCTCAAGATAACCTCAAGAAGATAGCCATTCAAAAGGCTTTGTCACCGGCTCTTGCTGAACACGGAAACACGTTATTATAGATACAGATTCGAGAACTGTCACTGAAGCCTTGTAAAGCGAATACGTATGTGTGTGTGTGACAATATCCTTCAGACAATGAATGTTATAGCATTAATGCTAAGACTCAGATGCCAAGGTCGTCGAATGCTTATCAACGGTGTCGCAAGTCATGTAGGAATGCTCGGGAATGATATGACATATTGTGATAAAACTTGCAACCAAGAGGGAAGATGTAGACATTTAGATACCACAGAGTCCAACCAACCCGTCCTCTTAAAATTACGTAGTTTTTCGCTTGTTTGCTTGTATGGCCAAAAATGGACGTATTTTGAAATGAAATCGGCTCACGAAAGAGACGTACTGTCCCGATTTCTGTTTTGAGTCCTCCGGCTTACTCGGTTAGGTTAGGAGAGGAAACTTTCAATTAACGGTTTTCATGACGTTTTGAAACCTTAAGGAGAACTTCTTGCCCTCCTAACCTACCAGAGGACCCTTAACTTGCCGTTTAAGAAAACAAAAATCCAAAATTTAATTTCTATTTTTCATTTTCAAATAACATCCATTTTCGGCTTAAGAACATTATTAAGAGATAGAGCACTGCAGAAGATGTACAGTGACCACAACTCACCAACATCGGGATCTGCGGGTTAATGGTACAAGACTTCAACCAACTTATTTTGATGAAAGGTAGCAATAGAAACTAAGACACAGAGAGGGCTTTACACCGCATTCAGCATGCATACCCGGAAGAGGACATGTCAGCATTGTGGAACAATGCCCGTCATCCTGCTGGAACATCACCAACCGTCTAAGTGAGATTGAAATTGAAATTGAAATAAGTTTATTGAGGTAAAATACACACAAAGGGATGAGGTAGCTCAAGCTATTCTCACCCCGTTCAGTACATCGTGTTAATACATACATAGACACACATCACAAGCAATAAACGTATTACCGAACATTCTGAGAGATAAACATATACATTTCCTCTAAGTGAGATGGTTGGTACTTAGCAGGGCTACCCAGAGGCTTATATAGGGTCTGTGCAGGAACCAATAACATGGGAGACATCTCCCGTCACGCAGGGTGCAGCCGCGCCTCCATAGATCTCCAGTATCAGCTCTTGATACTGGTAATGGCTCAAAAGGGCCGCCACTTACGGGCTATTCATGCCCGTGCCACCTTTTAGGTGGCTTAATCTTTATCAATCATCAATCAATCGAACATCCCTGATTGTTGATTGTTGCCGCCGAAGGCGGCTACTTTATTGTGCACCCCATACTCATCCTGTGAGCGGTAGCGCAAAAGCATTACAGAGGGCACAAAAGGTCTTTATCAGACCAAACAAATCCGGTTGTAGCGCCACCAACACCGGTGGCAGCGTCACAAACTTCAACAGCATCACCACCAAAACCAACACCGGTAGCAGTATCACCAACACCGGTAATACCTAAGTGACTTTTATGGAGGTTCAGCTTTTTATGCCCACTATGTGCCTCTATATCTCTTTCTACTGCCGCTCTCAGGATGGGTAACAGGTCCTCAACCACTCACAAGATGAGTGTGAGGTCCACAACCACTCACAAGATGAGTGTGAGGTCCACAGCCACTCACAAGATGAGTATGAGGTCCACAGCCACTCACAAGATGAGTATGAGGTCCACAACCACTCACAAGATGATTGTGAGGTCCACAACCACTCACAAGATGATTGTGAGGTCCACAACCACTCACAAGATGAGTGTGAGGTCCACAACCACTCACAAGATGAGTGTGAGGTCCTCAACCACTCACAAGATGATTGTGAGGTCCACAACCACTCACAAGATGAGTATAAAGTGTTTAATACATGAACGAGTGAGTGTCCGTTCATGTCCCCAGATAGGATGTGAAATACGCGTCCCAGAAACGAATTTCACATCTCGCCAGAGATTAACAAATATATAATAATGGTAGCAAAGCATTGTCTCTTCCTGTTTGTGTATAGATAAGGACTGCTTATAACCAGTACAGTTATAACTTCCCAATCCATTAATTCAGTGTAGAATATGAACTTTCTAGGATGATTAGGATAGATTAGGTTATTTGGTCTGCTAGTTGTATACATAGGCCAATAATAGTTTAGATTATTTGGTTACGTGAAATATTGAGAATTTATTCAACCAACTTGAACTATTGAATCAAAGTTTTTTCAACTTTAGGGAGCCGGTGGCTGAGCGGAGAGAACACTGCACGCGTGATATTGTGGTTCCGGGTTCGATCCCGGGCGCCGGCGAGAAACAATGGGCAGAGTTTCTTTCGCCCTGATGCCCCTGTTACCTAGCAGTAAATAGGTACCTGGGAGTTAGTCAGCTGTCACGGGCTGCTTCCTGGGGGTGGAGGCCTGGTCGAGGACCGGGCCGCGGGGACACTAAGCCCCGAAATCATCTCAAGATAACCTCAAGATCCTCAGCCTATGATTTTTCATGTTGATTGAGGCCGACCTCAAAGTTTCAGTTAGTAATTTTTAAAATTCTGAGCAATGAAAATTTTTATTTTCTTGAATATAAATGAATATTATTGTGAATCAGAACGTTGATTCTAATTTGAATTCGATTTGAATGGTTTTCAAATCAAATTTTGATTGAATTGCTAATCCTACGTTTAAGTTAGGTTAGGTTAGGTGGTTTGATTCTGTTGGCCATTATTTGCATTTGAAGTACATTAAGGATTTACTATGCTACGACTCGAGCGGAGAACGGAATCGAACCGCTTTTTAAGTTCGAACGTCAGCATTTGTGAGTCGTGTGCAGCAGCAGCAGCAGCAGCAGCAGCAGCAGCCCGTCCTTATCAACTACGACCAAACGTTCACGTCAGGTAGCTGCCAGTACCTCTTTTGATAATGGGAAATGCTACACACACACACGACTCGCAAGAAATGTATATGTTTATCACTCAATGTTCCATAATATGTTGATTGTGAGATATATATATAACCTATATATATATATATATATATATATATATATATATATATATATATATATATATATATATATATATAGAGCGTACCCCCTCTGGCAGGAAGAAGGGGGACCCATAGCCTCGGAGGAAACCAATAATAACGCATTAGAGGGAATGTTTAGATCCCCTCCAATACAGTTTCTGTGTGCTTTTCTCCTACCACCCCCTTCCTTATATATATATATATATATATATATATATATATATATATATATATATATATATATATATATATATATATATATATATATATATATATGAACATGTTGTACTAAACGGGGTGAGAATAGCGTGAGCTACCTCAAACCTTTGTGCGTATTTATACCTCAATAAACTTATTTCAGTTTCAATTTCACGACTCACAACTGATGACGCTCAAAACATTTCTTGAATAGCGCTTCGCTGATGACCTATGTAGGAATCGCAACTCAGTAAATCCTTCACATATGTACAACAATTACAAATAATTGCTAATAAAACCAAAACAACTAACCTTTTCCTAAATATACTCAATATAATTTAATTTATATTTTATAGAATTTCTATTTTTGAATGAACAGCATGGTAAATCTCGAGCCCGTTTTCATCAAGGAACACTTAATGCTCGTTATTCCAGGCGTCAAACTCTGTTTATGAAGGCAAAACGGTTTACTTACAACCATCCTCAGGTTAGGCTCGTTAAAGATGGGGCCGCCGTCAAGACCCGTTCCTCATTTTAACAGCCAAACAAAGGCCAAAGTCCATTCCGTGCACCCACCAAACCCCAGCTGTTTATGAATGAAAAATGGTTTACACACGACTCACAACTGATGACGTTCGAACACTTCCGGAACAAGTGCTTCACTGACGACTTTTGTTCGAACCACAACGCTGTAAATGCTTCACCCACGTACTACAAATACAAATAATCGCCAACAGAACCTAAACACCTAACTTAACCAATGTCTAAATATGCAGTGTTAATATATAACAATATCGATATATATTTGAGAAAATTCCTGTTTTGAATTATCAGTATGTTAAAATTGATGAATGTGTCTTTGGGGTCGACCGCTGGATGGAATGAACTTGGTCTGAGAACAGGTTGCAATTTAAACGTATTGTATATTAAAAATAGGTTTTGTTCTCATTAATATATTAATATTATTATATATTAAAGCTGTTTATATAGTTAGGCATAAGTTAGGTTAGAAGTTTAGGCTCTGGCGATTATTTGTATTTGTAGTACGTGAGTGAAGCATTTACAGCGCTGTGGTCCGAACACAGGTCGTCAGTGATGCACTGCTCGAGAAATGTTCGGAGGTCATTAGTTGTGAATCGTGTGTAAACAGTTTTTAATTCATAAACAAGGGGTTTGACGGCTGGATTAAAGAGTATTTGGCCGTTGTTGATGAGGACGGCCTGTTACACACGACTTGCAACTGATGACTTGTGTATATTTTTCCGAACAGTGTTTTGTTCGTGTCCTCTGCTTGAATCACAACTGTGTTTCATCCACGTATTACAAATACAAATAATCGCGAACAGAACCTGTATAAACACCTAATCTAACCTAACCTATAGCCAACTATAAATAGCATTTAATTTATATATATGAGAACAAACCTGTTTTTAATCACTCGGAACGTTAAAATTGATGAATTCGTCTTGGGGAGACCCCCGCTGCTTTAACGAGCCTGGCTTGGGGGACAGGTTGAAATACAAATAACTGCCAACCTAAACACCTTGGAAAAAGTAGTGGCTAACAAACATCCACATTTTCTATGCGTAGGATGGTTAAATTAGGTGGGAGGGGGTGGTTGTGTTGGTGCGTGTTAATACTCCTTACTATGTACGTTGTGGCACATCAACGTACAATGAAAGTGTACACACTCTGGTTGTATAAGTCTCTGCGGTCCGGCCCTTCATCTCCCAGGTCGGAGTCCGGCACGGTATAGTCCTTGTCATGTCTGTCTAGTCTCCGTGTCCACATAGTTCAGGTCCGTGTCCATATCTGTCATGTCCGTGTTCACAAGACTGACGTCCGTGTCCGTGGCGTGTCGGACCACAGGTCAATAATCCAAGGGTCTAAGGTATTAGTGACCAGACAGGCTTCAGGGCTAGTCGCTGATACGTCAAGGACCAGTGTGTGTTTGTCACTATATATCTAGTGTGTGTGTGTGTGTGTGTACACGCCTTACTCACGCCTCAGGTATTGTGTGAATGTCTGGCAAGACTCAAGCGATACCTCCGCCGCCACACTGCCACATGAGGTTTGTGAGGATGTCTGCGAAGGATGCCTGTGTTGATGGATGTCTGGCAGACTCTTAAGGGATGTCTGTGTTATGACCCAAAAATATATGAATACATTTATGTCTGTCAAAATACAGTGCCAGTATATTATGAGTTCTGTGTACAAATGAGCTGATTATGGGAGCAGAATGAGGCTTGGGACGCCAATATATACAACTCCACATTTATGAGAATCTCGCATGACTCGTATGGGTGTCGACTTGGAGCTAATGGTCAGTGAGAAGTTATGACAAGCTGAGACACACTGGAGGGAAAGGCTGTCTACAAGAGGCCAGAGGGAATGTCACAGGTGTGGGATAGAGACGACGTCGTGGCAGAGTGATAGCTCAGTTCTGATCAGGACACAGAGAAGGTGACAGTGGCTGTGTCGTGCCACTGTGGTATCTCTCTGACTAGTGGACACGACGTATTTTTGGAACAGGCTGATGTAAGGTGTTGAAAGTGGCTAATATTTGGGCTGGCAATTTGAGGGAGTTTTTTTTTATTATTTTCTACCACAAACGTGGCCACACATTTACAATGCTAACCAGAATATATACATTTTCTTCTGTCCTGCCAGGGTGATCTCCGGAGACTAGGATTGTATAGTCTAGTTAATTTTTAGAGTAATTAGGACACCTGCTGGTATTGGAATGATAAATGTTATCATGAAAATATATAATATATTGATGCAGTAGAATTTTAACTCTTATCATTGTGTGTTCCCCCTGTCAATACAGTGGCCTCAATTAGAGACTGGTGTATGTTCCAAAATATGAGATAATGAAATACTTAGTTATTTTGTAAATATATAATGAAATACTTAGTTATTTTGTAAATATATAATGAAATACTTAGTTATTTTGTAAATATATAATGAAATACTTAGTTATTTTGTAAATATATAATGAAATACTTAGTTATTTTGTAAATATATAATGAAATACTTAGTTATTTTGTAAATATATAATGAAATACTTAGTTATTTTGTAAATATATAATGAAATACAGTTACAACAGATATCCGTGAAGGTTGTTTGTATTTATATTATATTATTTACTATTTGTACCAGCAGAATAGAGTTGTCAGCTCCTAGACCTTTCCTTTCTGACCGTCGGGTGTCTAATGAACCGACTCCAGACTTAATGTTCTCCATCATATCTGCCACTACTACTACACACACACACAACTCCCATGTACCTATATTCTGCTAGATAAACAGAGGCATCAAGTGAGAGAAATAGCCCATTTGTTTCTGCCTCAGCCTGGAATCGAAGCGGGGCCGTTTGGGTCACGACCCCAAGCGCCGTCCGCCCCCTTGCGAGAGGACTGGGGTGAGCAGGAGAGAGAGAGAAGAGCCAACATCCCAATGTATAATACAGGGGAGCCGGTCGGCCGAGCGGACAGCACGCTGGATTTGTGATCCTGTGGTCTTGGGTTCGATCCCAGGCGCCGGCGAGAAACAATGGGCAGAGTTTCTTTCACCCTATGCCCCTGTTACCTAGCAGTAAAATAGGTACCTGGGTGTTTGTCAGCTGTCACGGGCTGCTTCCTGGGGGTGGAGGCCTGGTCGAGGACCGGGCCGCGAGGACACTAAAAAGCCCCGAAATCATCTCAAGATAACCTCAAGATAACAGGTCAAGAGTCCATAGGAAACGCCAAACCAGTTACTTACGGAGCAGAGAACAAGTCGTCAAAGTGCCTTACTTGTCAGGCCAGGGGATGGCCATGTATTGCTGCCACCACCGCGAGGCCACGAAGGACACGTAGAAGCCCAGGATGAAGGAGAGGGGGATGTAGTTCATGTAGGTGTCGCAGTAGAGGACCGCCACCTCGAACCTCCTGCAGAAGAACACAACCTGGGGTTAAGGTCTGGTCAGCATGGCGCTCGGGAGGGTTGTGGCGGAGGGTTGAGAGTCTTCTCGGTGCTTTGGGAGCCTACAGGTAAAGGGAATCTTTATGTTCAAGACTGTACCTAGATGGGAAGGGGGTCTTCGTGGTCCTCAAGACGGTATATAGATGGAAAGTGAGTCTTCATTGTGCTTAAGACGGTATATAGATAGAAAGTGAGTCTTCATGGTGCTTAAGATGGTATATAGAGGGAAAGTGAGTCGTCATGGTGCTAAAGACGGTATATAGATGGAAAGTGAGTCTTCATGGTGCTTAAGACAGTATATTGATGGAAAGTGAGTCATCATGGTCCTTAAGACGGTATATAGATGGAAAGTGAGTCTTCATAGGGCTCAAGACGGTACATAGATGACGTCTTCATTGTGCTCAAGAAGGGAAAATAATCTCTGACTCAGTGTAACACGTAGTAAGCAAACCAGAGTAATGCCGATAATACCATAAGATTAATGAATGCAGTTGTAAATAATTGTAATAATTTTAAACCCCAAGTGTCAAGATTAAGGCAAGAGAAGAATTGTTGCATTTCACTGTTGATATTGTAATGTTGATATACCATGGGATTGCAGTGTTGATAAGACCTTGCATAGTAACGTGTTTTCCATTTCAGCAAAAATCAATAATGTCACAAAGTTTGTTGTTATTAAACTAAACTTGACAGAATCCGTAAATCCATAATGACTAACATGAGGAATAAAACAGTAACCAACTGGCAGGCTTTAACGGAACCAGTGCATCATGCAGCGTCAGGACAATACAATTACAGGGGGTAGAAATAGTCTAAGCTACTCTATCCCTTTGAGATGTATTTCTTTCTCGTCTCAATAAACATACTTGAACTTGAATACAATTATATAATGAACTTTTCAAGAGTTTATTTTTCAGTTTCCTTTTCAAGTGAAGAGGAACGAAAGAAATATAGGTAATATTGGTGCTAGCCTCATTGATCTAACCGTTATGACAAATTTACCTGTCTTTGATGTCTTAGTAACAGTGAAAAACACCTCAGTTAGTTTCACTGTTTACAGAAAGATACTAAGACAGTCTCGTATTGAGTCAGGTCTTGTGAACCTGGGCTGGTGTTTATGGAGCACTGGCATATAAGACCCTTAAGCAGACGAGGAGTCACAATAACCTGGCTGAAATATGTTGACCAAAACACACACACTAGAAAGTGAAGGGACGACGATGTTTCAGTCCGTCCTGGACCATTCTCAAGTCGATTGTGTGTCAAGCTCGACTTGAGCTTAACACAATCGACTTGAGAATGGTCCAGGACGGACCGAAACATCGTGGTCCCTTCACCATACATTAACACATTGATTGTAACCGTGATATATGTGCTTCAGCCTACAGTTTAGACCTATTGTCTTATGTATGACCCTCTGTCCTGCTTGACAGTGAATACCAGCATTATCCTCACTTTAATAAGGCTTTATCAAAATCCTCAGATTAGGCAAAATTGTAATTAATTTTGTCAATAAAGATGTTAATAATAATAAGGTCCCTTCACTTTCTAGTGTGCGGTTTGGTCACGACCTCTAAGTCAGTACGGGATTGACTAAAGGGTCTTACATCTGCCCCACTTCATTACTTGTGCAACCATGCGGATAAAATAGAAAACAGTCTTTATTCGGCTCTTTACCTAAGAGTATGATGCAGTGGTAGCTCTCAGGGGTTAGACGGTGAAAGGAACAAACTCTACAATCAACTCGACAAAGTAGGATATCCAAAATCGAGTCTTATTGGAGCTTTCAATAGTGTCAAAGTAAATATTTTAGTAATCACCACTAGGCAGAAGGAGATAGTTTCGAAGAATGACTTATTCCAAGAATAGTCATTCCTGACAGCTTAGACCTAGAAGATAATGCTGAGAATATAAGTTGGAAAAATACAAAATAGACTTTTAAGTTTCCCCCCGAACGGGGGAGCCGGTCGGCCGAGCGAACAGCACGCTGGACTTGTGATCCTGTGGTCCTGGGTTCGATCCCAGGCGCCGGCGAGAAACAATGGGCAGAGTTTCTTTCACCCTATGCCCCTGTTACCTAGCAGTAAAATACGTACCTGGGTGTTAGTCAGCTGTCACGGGCTGCTTCCTGGGGGTGGAGGCCTGGTCGAGGACCGGGCCGCGGGGACACTAAAAGCCCCGAAATCATCTCAAGATAACCTCAAGATAACATAATGATGGGAAGGAACTCGTCGATATATAGTTCATTCCCAACATTATGCACAATCTGGTGAGAGGTTAACAGCGGCCAACTAGACAACCTTGACAACCCGTGTTGTTGAACACAGGAGGTCTCTCAGGCATAGCCAATAAAGTCCAGAATTCTACAAGCACCTAATTGAGACTGATCGCCAAATTCTCCAGAAAGATTCTGGTATAATTTATCCTCTAACATTGTGGCTTCAGAAGAAAATTAACAGAATCCGCTTACATAAATAATGATCATAAATTTAATACTTCCTCTGGAAAATGGATCACATAATCACTCACCAGATGTGGTGAGTGATTATGTGATAAGAAGGTGAGAGTTATCCTGATAAGGGATAAGGGATAATGAACAGGGATAAGCCTTCCCTTTCCTTCAAACCATGCTGCTTTCTAAGAGCAAGGGATAACTATTCTGTTGTTAGTATTTCACACCACACTTTAAACAATTATATATTTTATAATTGAGAGACAGGCAAAGACAGAGAAAGATACAAACAGGGACAGACACAGATTCAGATAGAGAACGAGAGACAGTAGTCGATGGAGTGATAGACAGATAAATGACTAGATGGGTGGATAGACAGATAGACATGGATAGATGGATAATCGGAAATTGATCTTCTCATTGATACTTCACGTTAATGTGATTTATCTGTGTATTGAAGGAGGAAGTGTCAGAGGTAGAATTCCTGAACGACAGAGCCAGAGTGCCTGGGGTGAAGGGGGGGGGTGATTGTTTGACACCCTGATGGTTCACCTCCAGTGGAAGCCTCGGGAACCCTCGAGGATTCAGTAGAATCCCAAGTTGCAATCCTTTTGACCATGTCGTGGCGTAGTTGTCTAAGGCGTGTGCTTGGGAGTACCCAGAGCATAAATAATAATAATAATATTATTATTAATACTTATCATTATCACTGTAGCCACGCTCACTACACACTGTCTTAATCACTGTTACCAACTTCACTTCACACGATCTTAGTTATTGCTTTGGTACCCGACGAGATCAATCAATTATTGCCCCAAATTATATTGATAATTTGATTCCTATCACTCATTATCGCAAAATCCGCCGTTGCAGACCTACGAAAATTCCATTGACAGTTTGAAAATAATATCCCAAATGAGTTAAAATTGGAAGGCACAGTTTGAGCAATTTGGATAATTATTAGAGAAGACTAACACACACAGACAGACGCATCACAAACATACACAGACAGACGCATCACAAACACACACACACACACACACACACACACACACACACACACACACACACACACACACACACACACACGCACACGCACGCATCACAAACACAGTCAGAGTACACTGTCCACTGTCAGAGTACATTCAGAGAGAGAAGCACCCTCCCAGAGCACCGTGGGGACCCATTTCTCGAGACACACAAATGTCCCGGTCCTAGAACTACTTTGCCTGCAGGAGTCAAGAGCAATCATGGCAATTCCGCCACGCTCAGTACACGGACGTAAGACCTCAGCACCCGAAGGGAGGCCAAGAACTGTTCGTAAGATCGAACTGTTCGTAAGGTCGAACTATTCGTAAGGTCGAACTATTCGTATGGTCGAACTGTTCGTAAGGTCGAACTATTCGTAAGGTCGAACTATTCGTATGGTCGAACTGTTCGTAAGGTCGAACTGTTCGTAAGGTCGAACTATTCGTACGGTCGAACTGTTCGTAAGGTTGAACTGTTCGTAAAGTCGAACTGTTCGTAAGATCGAACTGTTCGTAAGGTCGAACTGTTCATGAAGTCTTGCATCAAAGTTTTGGGGTGCTTCACCTGTGTCAGCCCGTCCTCCAAACAAAGACCCAAAAGTGATTCCATGCACCCACCAAACCCCAGCTGTTTATGAATGAAAAACGGTTTACACACGACTCACAACTGATTTCATTCGAACACTTCCGGAACAAGTGCTTCACTGACGAATTTTGTTCGAACCACAACGCTGTAGATGCTTCACCCACGTACTTCAAATACACATAATCGCCAAGAGAACCTAAACACCTAACCTAACCTATGCCTATATATGCTTATATATAGGTTCTCCCCCCCCATATGGAGGGGGAGTATGGGTCGTGGCTCTGTCCTGGAGAGGGAGAATGGGTCGTGGCTCTGTCCTGTAGGGAGTATGGGTCGTGGCTCTGTCCTGTAGGGAGTATGGGTCGTGGTTCTATCCTGTAGGGAGAATGGGTCGTGGCTCTGTCCTGTAGGGAGAATGGGTCGTGGTTCTGTCCTGTAGGGAGTATGGGTCGTCGCTCTGTCCTGTAGGGAGAATGGGTCGTGGCTCTGTCCTGTAGGGAGAATGGGTCGTGGCTCTGTCCTGTAGGGAGAATGGGTCGTGGCTCTGTCCTGTAGGGAGAATGAGTCGTGGCTCTGTCCTGTAGGGAGCATGGGTCGTGGCTCTGTCCTGTAGGGAGAATGGGTCGTGGCTCTGTCCTGTAGGGAGTATGGGTCGTGGCTCTGTCCTGGAGAGGGAGAATGGGTCGTGGCTCTGTCCTGGAGAGAGAATGGGTCGTGGTTCTGTCCTGTAGGGAGTATGGGTCGTGGTTCTGTCCTGTAGGGAGTATGGGTCGTGGCTCTGTCCTGTAGGGAGTATGGGTCGTGGCTCTGTCCTGTAGGGAGAATGGGTCGTGGCTCTGTCCTGTAGGGAGTATGGGTTGTGGCTCTGTCCTCTAGGGAGTATGGGTCGTGGCTCTGTCC